ATTTTTAAGCTCATCATTATGCAGTTTTCTCCATGCCCCATCGTCTTCCCTCTTAGGCCCAAATATCCTCCTCAACCCCCGATTCTCAAACACCTGCAATCTGTGTTCTTCCCTCTGAGTGAGAGACCATGTTTCGCACCCATACAAAACAACAGGCAAGATTATTGTTTTGTATACTTTCATTTTCAGGTTCTTAGAAATCAGACGGGAAGACACAATATTTTGGACTGAGAAGTAGCAAGCCTTTCCGGAATTTAGTCTCCTCCTAACTTCCTCACAAGTATCATTTTGATTTGTTATTGTTGTTCCCAAATATTTGAACTTTGTAACCCTTTCAAAGGATTTATTAGCCACCCTAAGATAATTTTGCCCGCCTGTCTTCTGATGACGAGATACTAACATGTACTTTGAGTGAATTATACATTTACTAAATATATTTTTTTGCGGTTTTTCATGATCTATTGGCCTTGATGCACAAATATATTGCAAAGCTAAGAAATAAATGTTACCATAAAAAACATTGCAATCAGAAATTACTTTTACTTCATTAAATTAAATTTCATGTGACCATTAAGTATGAGTTGTGTTAAATTAATATGGACTTAAAGGATGCCTAACAACTTTCAGTGCAGATTCCAGTACTAAATTTCATTGAAATCACAGTAGCATGAGATGAAGCACGCACATGGATGTATGCCCCACCCAAGCTCACTTCACAAAAAGAATGCACATGAAAACATTGCCTGAATGTATTCTTCCCTTCATTTCATACTTTATCTCATTTCAGTTTTGTTGTCAGATGTTATAATCACTAATTTCATTTTGTGTTGATTTAATTTACAATGTACTTAATTTATTTTGAGACCTTACTGTCTTGGGAAAGAATTTCATTGTTACTTTAATACAATATCAAATCAGTTAACAAAATTTGCATTTCACACATCCTATTACTTTGAAACACACATTTAAAAATAACATATTTTCTGAACAATGTATGATTCTGATGGCAAAATTACGGTATTCATAATGTACTTGCCACACACTAGTGTACTACACATCACATCAGGAACATTTCATGTAGAAGTTTATCCTGTAAACATGCAGTGCAATGGACTAGGTTCAATATCAGCAACAAATTTTATTATTACTTCTATTACAAGTTGAAAAAGTTCTGATTTTTTAAAAAAAAAATCAGTCACTTTGATGCTACATTTTTTAGCCATTCTATCAATTTTGTTTTTGTGGCAGCTGATGTACAGCTGGAGAGACCTAGACGTAGATGGGAGGATAATCTCAGGCGGGATCTATGGGAGATAGGAGTTGAAGGAGACTTGATTTTGTTGGCCCAAGACAGGGTCCAGTGGAGGGCTTTGGTTAATTTGGTGATGAACCTTCGGGTTCCGTAAGCCATCTAGTTAGTTAGTTAGTTGGCAGCTGATGTGTGGATGCCTAATCTTAACAGATAGAATACAGAGCCACTACAGTTCAGAGATCACCATCTTAGACCTGAACACAAGTTAAAGTCACTGAAAACAGTGAAAAAGACATAAGTCAACAATGCTGAGAGAGTATAATATAAACACTATCAAAGATATGTTTGTTTAATACAGCTGTTGGCATAGAGTTTAGCATATGTTTTTGTAGTATATGCAACTCAACCTTTACAGCTTGATATTTGGCATATTTTGCCTTCAAGAGATTCTGACCACAAGTCCCCTATCCCTCAACCCATTCAACTGTTGGGGGCATAGTATTTCTCACATTCTCAGTTGTATCTTCATCAAAGGTGAGGGAAGCAAAAAGCATGCAGAAATATCTATACTGCACATAGCCAGTCTTGAACACAAGATATTGGCACTAAAGTCCAGCAACTAGACCACTTGGTCTATGTTCTAAAACAGGAGTGTCAATTGCTGGATACGTTAAAACAATGTAGGCACAAATTTATTTAATATATGCAAACTCTTTTGTCAATCATGAAAATGGCTGTTGGCAACATTTGAGAATTACTGAATTTGATGAGCAGGCAGCTTTCAGTTTGCACACTAATATTTGCATAAATGCACAAGGCAAATTAAAAAGCACTGCAAAGAATACTTCTTTATTTCTGGTTCTTCCTTCTTTTTTGTATGTGAGAAGTGGCCTAAATTCTCTGTCTTACTTGGGCTTATGCCACTAAACTTTGGGTCAACTTTTCTGACTTCTCTTAGGTGTTCTTGATAAAACCTGGTCCATCTTTTCTATGATACTTGCCAGTCTCTCTTTGCTAGTCTCACTACCATTCTCCTTCCATGGTGAAGGAACATTTGTGCTGTTTGGTGATAAACTGAACCCATTTGTGTCTGCAGCAAGAGGTAAACCCTGAAAAATCCCCAGCTCACTATCATTCACAGGCACCAATTTCTTCTCATCCTTTAATGACGAAAGCCTGGAGTGAAATGGGGTTGAACTCATCAGGCAAGAGTCAGTGAAGTCTCCTGTTGTTGAGTGTAATGCCACATCTTGCTGGACCAGCATTTGAAGTCCTATGTCTTTACCAGAATCTAGTTTACCATGTTCACAAACCACAATATGAGCACTGTTGCCATATGAAGCAAATGCCACCATGTGTTCAAATGGATGGTAATCCACGCCACTTGCTGGCCGTTGGAACTGTAATTCAGAGTATATGGCAAGCTGTTCCCCAGTATCAGCATTCCACACATGTATTGTACCATCTTCACTGCCTGCAAACACCAATCCTCCACATGGTGAAAGGCAGGCTGAAGTCTGAAGCCTGCAACAAATTAGAACAGTACATAATGAATGCATATGGGGGAGTATACGTCCACCTAAATTTTTTACCTCTGAACCTACCAACAAATTTAAATTAAATCTGATGTTTGGGGATCTGCACTAAAGCTGTCATAAAATTTAATTTTTGGTTCATAAGGTCCAATACAAATGACGTAAAACTGAACATGAACATTCTTACAACGTATTTCTCTAACACATATTTTAACATTAGCCCCAGCTCCATCTAGGTCTTCAAAAGAGGTCTCGTCCAACAAGGTTTCCCAATAACATTTTGAACGCATTTCTTGTATCTCCCATGTGTATTAGATATCTCTCCAATATTATACTTCCTAAAAATATTTGGTATGAAGCACAAATTGTAAAATTCACATTATGTACTTTTCTCCATTTATCTGGTATTACGAAAGCTTCCTTTCTGAATGCAAAACTTTATCCCATACCTATGATTCAGGGCACCATTAAACCACTGAATCACACTTGCAGTAGCAATGTCCAGCATCCGCAGTTGACTGTCCCGTGCATGTATGAGTAGTCGCTGACCACCAGGATGAATCTGAAGTCTGTTCACAATAGTGTCTCTCAGTTCTCGAATGTCAATGTTCCTTGAATACATAGATACCACACTACAGTTGACAATAGTTAGCAATGGATTAATTGGTTCAGAGTCATGTCCAATGCCAGGCTCTAGCATGAGCAGATACCACTTTCACAGTTATTTAACAGATCAGTCAGAAGGTATAGAGTTCTAACTCAGTGCATTGTAGTGCCAGACCTTTGAGGACCTTCTCCATCATAAATCCCTCATGGACTCACATGCAACCGAACCATGACCTCTTCAGTGAGAAGCTGGTGTCTAATAATCAGATCTGTGACATGACAATTCTAGGCAACTGAATCTCTGCTAACAAGACACAAGGTTTAATACCATTAATACCAAAGCATGTAATTGGATACAATCCTGAGCCAGTTCCATGTACCTCCAGTCTTCAAAAACTACTTCCCCAGGCCTTCTCAAAGAAGTTTTTGAAACAAAATTATGCAGATTTCTTCTTTCTCCAATTGTTTCTACATGCCAAGCCCATTATAATCTTGATGTGACTGCCAGGTAAACTGTATATATCTCTATGTTCCTTCGTTCCCTATTTACATTCTATACCATTCTTCCAAAAGTAATACAGCTACAAGAGATGATGACTGGCCACAATTTCAGAGGGATCCAGTTCAAGCACGGTTAAAATTTCAAAGTATTTAACTCTAATTATAACATGTCATGTTGAAGCACCTTTTGAGTTTCCACTGGGAACCACGTTCCTTTGATTTTAATTTTGATCCTGTCCACTCAAGGATTCTCCCCACACTATCACCTGAATACAGCACATTGTTGCAACTCACGGATACAGCACTGACAAAACCTGTGTGACCTTCCAATTCCTGGACAAGCTGCAAATAAAGACATACAATTCATTCATAGAATATACATATTTAAAAGGGACCTGTCAGTGCAGGGACTGGATTCTGCCCTTCTGTGCAAAGCATAACCTTTCTTCAAATGTTCAAAACAGTGTGTTAAGTACCAGCACTCAATAGTTTGATAACATGGCTTACTCTTACTCACCTCAAACTGCAATGATTTGTAGGGACGCTTCCATACACGTACCACATGGTCACTGCAGCCAGTGACCAGAACAGAGCTATTACCAGGATGGAACTGAGCACAATATACAAATGATGGGTGAGGTAGCATCTGGAACAAAACATTGGTATACTGTATTCCGGACCAACAGTGCTCAAGCAAAATCATGTTATGTCTATATTCCACTTCGAAAAACATGTTGATATGGATATTCCGAAATATTTAAATTTAGTTAAACATTAAGGATACGACAGTAAGTGAAATATGTTCACATCTTGATGACTAAGTTCCATTTGCATCAAGGTCTTAAAAGGATTGATCTTTCTGAGCTGTGTACAAAAATGTAATGTTAAAATAAGTTTATATATGACCTCACTTGCATTGGGGTTGACTTCCATGCAGCAGAATCCCAGAGGCAGGCAGTACAGTCTGCTGAAGCAGATAGTAGCATTGTGTCTTTAGGGGACCACTGCAAATCATAAACAAGCCCCTGGTGACCCACAAACTGGGCAAACTCCTTCCCATCTGGAACCTGTTGAACATCAACAATTTCTATCAAATTAAAAAATGACTGCCTAAAGCATAAAATATGCAGAAAAATTACGTGGATGTTCATACCTTATCATTAGTCCCATAATACAGGAATTATTTAAAATCCTTTAAATATGTGGAAGAATTAAAATATAAATTATATTAATAATGTATTTAAGAGAAAAACACACTCAAAAATACTTGTTACTAATCAGTTACAAATTCTTTTCTTTATCTTCTAATAGAAATTACATAGATATTTCATGTTTTGATTACACATATTTTCCAAACATGACTTACAATTTTACATGCAACTTGTCTCGATGTTCATTACAAATCTACTGTTGCATAATATATATCACACTGCAGAGAAACATAAATTACTTAATTACAACATAGTTACACTAACAGAATATACAGTGATGATGTATTTATTGTCAGTTGATATGCTGCAAGCAAGGTGAAGACCAGAGTTGCTGAACTTCACAAAGAAACATCCTCTTGAGGCTGTTGGCAGGGTCAGTTTACGACAGTTTGGTATTTTGCACGACTGCGATGGTAAGCGAGACCATACAGGAAAGGATGTACTTGCAGATGGCAGCAGCTGCAACAGTGTATGAAAATCCCTAAATAATGAGTCGTATATACCATATTTATCAAAATACCAGACAAACTTTCTTTGAGATTTTAGCTAAGTATCTGATTTGGGCAGCACAAAGTAATATGTAAAGAAACACATAAGATACAGCAGAAGACTTAGAAACATCATTCATGTGAGCTGTAACAGCCATTAGCTAACCATGAAGCACAGCCTTCAGAATACACAGTTGGACCCATTAGAAGGAACTACTAATCTCAATCTGTGGTCCAAAGATCAAGATCCTGAAGACAGGGGAAGATCCATGTACCAAACTGTAGTGGTTTTTTAGGAAGTATAATGACGATTGAAAAAGGCCAAAAAATTTAAATTAGTACAACAATTTCTGTGTAAGGTAGCAAACAAGTATTATACGTATGAAGAAAAACAGTTATCAATACAAAAGTACTGTAGTTTTGGGCAATGATGAACATAAGACCAATTCAAATAGCAGTAAAGTGTACCAGTAACTGTAAATATGGTATTATAGCTTTTATTAATTCCTCATGGTACTGCAGTTTTATCATACATTGCACATGCCTGTGTAGACTTCTAGAATAGCCATGTTAATATAATATATCAGTTTCTGGTCTTTATGTTCTCATGCCACAGTCTATATGAACAGTTTTCTATAAGATGTGAAACATGAAATTGAATGAAGAGTGAATACTAATGATTATGCAGCACCTGAGCTGACACCATGGAGTTCTCATTGTTAGACTTCACATCTCCATCACTCTGTTTCTGTTGCAGTTCTGAAAACGGAGGTGATTGACTAAGCTCCGCTTGCAGAGCACTCCGAGAACGCAGCGCTGGAGGCAAATGATCTGGTGGTGTGATCCCCTTCAGAGTCACATACAAAGTTGCAGGATAGTGCTTCCACATACCACCACTCCACCATTCATATACCTGTCGTTATAACAAAAATTGTGAAGGGAAAGCAGCACGAGAGATATTGTTTATAAGATATTCAAACAAAATTGATAATGGTTGTTTTATCAAATAATGCTTTGATAACTGAATTGTTTATACTGAAACAAATGAGAAATAAAAGATAAATATGGAGGAAGCAACATTTGCATAGGACTAATTGGGGAAGACAGACATCTTCATAATCGTCACTGTGAGAACCTGAAATCTCAACTAAGGTTCATAGAATGATAAACTCTTGAGTTACTGCCATGCATGGATAGTTCTAAGAGACACCAACTTACATCACAACTGTTACATCTTGATTTATGCATTCTCTGTGGTTTGTATAACTGCAGTCTCAGTTGCTTCTCTGTGTTTAGGGCACTGTTTGCCCCAACAGGCTTCAAGAATGCCCAGGCAATGTGATGCCAGCCTCCTTCGGAACCTGAGGTAAATGTAAAGTAAATGTGTGTGCAAAGTTGTCCCTGTCTCTAACCACATGTTCTACACCTATATTAAGTGGAGGTGATTAATCAGGTTCAACCTCTGGCTGCTTTACTCCAACACTAAGAATCCCTTGTACCCACTGGATTGGGTCAGGATAAATAAGAATATATATATATATATGTCCCTGCACTAGTCAGGAATCTAATCTTAGTCATCTGGCTCAAAGCAAATAATTTTACTCAATTTCCCTAGCTCTAAAAATTATACAAAAACTTTGATAACAGGAATTTAATGTTTCTGCTCCTCCACATCCAAACTATATTATCAGAGCAACAACTGCAAAAAGGGAATTTTTTTCATAACACACCTAGCAGCATATTATTTTAACATCCCAAAAGTATATTCTGTGACAGCTCAGTCAGTACAGCTAGATGACTGAGTCTGCAGTCCAATGACAAGCAAGGATTTTTCTCATCATCAAATCCACAAGAGCTCAGAGACTGACACAGCCTCCTCTTCAACAGGTACCAGGGACTGCTGTCCAAGGAGAAAGTAGCTGGAACATGAAGCTAACCACCTCCACCTCGTTCATTTCTAGAATATATGCAACTTTACTTCCAAGCCTCTCTATATGTGTCCATGGTGCTGTGTTTAAACATTACTTGATCTCAAATCTTTGCAAGTATGTCCTTTCTTGATATAAGGCTCTAGAATGTGTAATATTTGCCATCTTTGGAATGTTTTATAATTCTTTCCATTGAATATAAAACAAAGATAGAAGGAGAAAGAAAATAAAATTCTACAGTGAAGATGACACTTCTGCTTGCACAGAGCTGTGCTTTGTTTTGAATTAACACCACCTGATAAATGTCTGCACTTACCTAACTTCCGATAATTAGAACTTGCAACTGTAAAATTTACAAAGTCCAGGACCTCAAACAGGATTAGCACTGGTGAATCATCCCGCAAAATATACTCAAAATCCTCATTGAATACAAGCAACTCTTCCCAAAATGGCACAATGGATCTGTTGAGCATAAGTGCATTACATCATGACAATTATAACCATTCAGACAATAACTGCCTGAAGGTTGCTTCATTATTGGCAACTTACATTAAGCAATTCTTAAACACTAACACATGTAGCTAAAAAATAGGAGTCAAAGTATACAAACTAATATAACAGAATAACAATGAGAGCTTGAATGGTGTAAATGCTATTAGCTGATTTATAGGTTTTTTATTGATACAATATTTTTATTTTTATTTTCCGTCTATACACAAACTTAAAATAATGTTGTTTAAAATTATCTAAAATTATAACATTCTCAGTAGACACTGCATCTTGTTACATTTTTTGTATCGACGACATGTTTCAATGTGTATCACATCATCATCAGGTCTATCAATTTTAATATATTTTAAAAACTGTAGTACATTTTGCGTTGCGTTTATTGATTATTTTAATTTATTTAATTTTAAGTTTTTTTGTCTCTTCCTTTTGGTTTGGAGGTTGTACTTGGATGTTT